ACGCAGATTCGAACCGATGACCTCCGGATTAGAAGGCAGCCGAAAACGAAAATATGAAATTAGGTTCTAAGTCTGAAGAGTGAGATACAGGCATCGAGAGCACCAGCTGCGAAAGCAGCAGCATAGGAAAAAGCAAGCAGAAAAATTGGCAGTGAAGCTTTTGGTTAAAAAATATTTCAAAAATTTAACGGCAATGCTATTTCTCAGCAAAGCAAATGTCAGCACTTCATTGACATGAATAAAAACTGGAAATCAGCTCGGGATTAAAAATTCTTCTCGGCAAACTCTCTTTATAACCAAATTTTACATAACGGTGATTGTTCGGTGAAAGCGCCAAATCGGGTTGGGATGGATTTCTGAGTTGTTTGAAAGGTCAAAATCGATGACAGATACAGAGAACAAATAAAATGCACTAAAAAACATGAATAGAAGTAGTAGTAGTAGAGTAGTAGTAGTGATTGTTGTTGTTGTAGTAGTATGAGCCGTATGAATCGTATTTGCACACATGATTTCGACTTCAGGTGTTGGGTGTAAATAGCCTCGGTACACAATAGAGACTTGATTCCAACATGTAGTGATGTTGAAAACCTGAAATCTAGCCTTGTGAATAGTTCTTATGCATATGTTAAGGTGAAACCGTCTAGTAATGTTATTATTACGACGGAGCAGTTACAGTCAATTAAAGAATTACGGTTAAACAACGAATTACAAGTACAGGCACTTCCATTGGGCCTTAGGTTTTGCTGTCTACGAAGTAATGACCACGGACTAGAAATCGAAACAATTTGAATACCCTTAGCCAGACAAGTGATTTAATAGCCACTTTCACCACCAGCCTCGGACAATTAAAGTCGGACTTGGTCAACATTTCCTTTCAGTTTCGACGATACCTCATGACACATTGCCGATTACTAACAAAGGCACATCGAAACCATAAGAGAACTTCTTCAGAACGGGGGGATCATAATCACGAAACCAGATAAAGCATCGGGAGCCGTAATTATGGACCGCACGGATTAGGTGCAAGAAATAAAAATTGTCCTGTCGGACTCCTCCAGATTTGCACGAAGTGAGCGAGAGAAGGACAAAACAGATTACACAGAAGCACAACTGACAAAGTGTTTGAAATCACTGCTCACTAATACCCACATGACTAAAGATATGAAATGCTAAGACCCACCGGCTCCATAATTCCTAGACTTTACGGTCTCCTAAAAATACGCGAGCCGGTTGCACCATTGCGACCGTGATTGGTTATGAGGAACTCCCCATGTCACAGCATCGCAAAATGCTGAACGTCTATTTTGGATCCTTTTAAGAAAATGATAGCCCCTCATCAACCTACGGAGAGTTTCCAATTTATTGGAAACCTTAAAACCATGAATATCTTAGGCTATCGAATGTTCTCTCTGGCCGTCGTATCTCCGTTCACGAATGTCCCACTGCTAGAAATAATCAACTTCCTTTGTACTTACATTGAGCGGAACAAGATAAAGATACCAACTTTCCACTTAAAGTATCTATTACTCAGGTGCACTTATAACATCCAATTCGTCAGAACAGTGAGAAGACATAAGTTGCCATATGCCAACATTACGATTATTCTGATCAGTCGGGATTCATATAGTTATATACAAGGGGAAAATTGGCACACCAATCAGACCACGGTAACCTAATTGATTGTCTCAATAGCTTCTGTGCACACAACACATCCAATTCAACAATGGATTGTACAGACAAGTAGATGGCGTAGCGATGAGATCACCTCTCGGACCACTATGGACTGCTTATATATATATATATATATATATATATATATATATATATATATATATATGGGATGGCCCAATAAAATCGGTCATCTCGGGCCTACCTTTCTACCGATGTTATGTTGACGACATATTTTGTATACTTAATAAGACGAAAAACTTGCGGAATGTCGTCGACTGTTTTAACAAGGCAAATCCCAACGCCACTTTCATATCTGAAGAAGAGATTGACAAATAAGTACACTTCTTGGATGGAAACTTAAAGCGACGAGAAGACCGATCAGTCCACATAGGATTACACAGAAAGCCGTACTGGACAGGCAAATACACACACTTCCGGAGTTTTGTACCAATTAGTCGTAAAAGTACATTAGTCCATACTCTGGCAAATCGTGCACGGAAGATCTGTAGTGAGAACACAACTGAAGATAAAATGAAGCGAACCAGGCAAACGCTCCTTGAAAACGGTTATTGAGCACAATTCATTAACGTTCATATAAAGCCTAGTAGCCCAAGATCAACAGTACAAACGGTAGAGAAGAAACAGCCGTTTCTTCAGCTTCCCTTTAAGGGTGACATACCGACTGAGATATGCACACGACGACTGGTACAGACTTGCCGAGACTTTTAATGTAGCTCAATTAAATGTCGTTTTTACAAACAGTTCGCTCATTGTTCCTAGATTCAAAGACAAGATGCCTTATCAACGCTACTCAATGGTAATCTACCGGTTCACCTGCTCCTGTGAGGCTAGGTACATTGGGCACACGACTAGGCACTTGGAAAAGCGAATCAAGGAACATTTACCAACGTCGCTCGTCGCCCAACAGGACAAAACTAAATTTAGTGCAATAAGTAACCATCTGATCTGCACCGGTCATTTGATTGATAAACGCAAGTCATTTGAGATCCTCTATCGAGTACTATCGCAGCTACACCATCGGTCAGGGGCTTGGCTACTTGCTACCACTGAAGCGGTATGCATCAAGTTGACAAAACCTAATCTATACATTCAGAAAAAGCATGTCCAAGCATTACAACTACCTTGGCCAGCCTGTAAAAAAGATGGATCGGACCTCACCCAGTGGTATCACATGCCTTCAGTCACTTGACCACATGACGCGTTCCGTTAACCATCTACAACTTTTGTTCAATCAATAACTGCTCTCTGTTTCCCGAATGAACCTATCAATGTATATTTCTGTACACCAAGCCTGATGATGAATAAATCGACAACGATTGTTCGCTTTAAGCGTACTGCTTGCGCTTCTTCTTGCAATAAACAATAAAAATGGGCATACTACACGAAATTTATCATCTATTTTCCAGACCCGGGATCCGGCATAGTGCTGATTGATACGGTGGGTTATATTTTTAAAATTTCGCACATCCTCATTGACGAGCGTAAGTTTTTAAAATCGTATGGGCAGTATCAGATAGGGAGTTAAAGGACAGTTGCGTCAGGTTAATGATGCTAACCAAACTTGTCACGAAGAGAGAATTCGAATTGCTGAAGCCTTCAGCTCGACAAATACCGAGATTTTGTGGCCTTTCCAAAGTTCACAAGTAAGGCGCCCCAATCTTGGACATGGTGGGTTCTCCCCAGCATTTGTTGACCTAATGGATGGTGGACAAGTTGTAACGGTTACGGAATATGGTTTGGACTTTCGGCGTGAGAGACACCTTTGAATTCATTGGAAAGATATCTGAACTCCAGTTTACTATCAAAAGACTGATATCTTTTGATGCCCGGTCGCTGTTTACAAACATTCCACTGCTCGAAACAGTGGATTACGTGTGCGAGCTGACCCGGCAACTGCCATTATACGCAATTTTTCCGGAGGTTTTGCTAAAGGTTATACTACTTCGCTGCACGTTAAATGTTCAATTCACATTCAATGTCGAGATGTATCTCGTCAGATTGTTGGAGTGGCCATGGAATCTCCTTTGGGATTGTTGTTGGCTGACGAAATTATAACATGGCCTATTCAAAACGCACATCTGTGGAATTGAAATGCACGTACGGTTATCGATGACACTTTCGTGCTTTGCGAATCCGAAGGCATGCGAAATAGTGGTTGAAAGCGTTTAATGACGCACATGCGAATCTAGTCTTCACCTGTGTGCACGAAAACGGAAACCGTTTAACTTTTATGTGAGTAAAAGTCATCCGCAACTTGGACGGCTAATGCTGCAGAAAAATACGCAGAAAGCATACATGGGCAATACACTAAATTTCACAGCGCAATGGTTTTACAGCACAAGAGGAGTTTAAACCGATCTCTTGCCTTCAGGGCGCGCAGTATTTGCACTCCGAATACCGTCAACGAACAGCTACAGAGAATTAGAGACATTCTTGGGGAAAATGGTGACCCCGGTAAGTTTATCATGAAGCATCTGAAGGAACGAAATCGAAAGCCACCTAGGAGCAGTGCTCCGAAGAAAGCATTTCATGCATTGGTCAATTGCAGGTGAGATCTGGCAGGTTGGCAGACTATGAACCAGGGGCCGCCTGACTTGAGGTAGGCGATATGAAAGTACTGAGCGAGTGTAGGGAACTTTCACAGTCCAAGATAACTCGCGTAGTTTGTGCTTCAGGAAAATCGAATCATACTTCTAACCGATAGATATTGCTTTCTAAGACTATTTTCGAAGCAAGACAGCCATCGAGCTACTTCCAATCTCCGAGGAGAAAGACAATGAGACCTAATTTATATGACTCATTTGGTACGAGTAGCTTTGTAATCACATGAAACGGGTAATTCATGTGGAGATCGCTGAGGCACGCCTTCCTTCGTTAGTGTCCACGGTCAATAATGGTATCCGATGGCTCCAGAGTCGTTTCCAACACTTGCCGATGAGCTCGTCCGCCAGCAAATGATTACGGTTAATTAAGAACGTCACAATAACATGAGTGGCACTTGTATCCACAGTACATCTGCGTTTGAATTATGTGTGATTAACTGAAATAAGGCGTGAATACATTTCGACTGGTGCTATAACGGAACTATGCAATTGACCACGTCTGTATGTGATTCTACGCAATCATCGCCCAACCAGACGCTTTCCCAAACATCCAGAAGACACTAGACGGCCGTTTCATCTTAGGGAAACCTCAAGAGTTCATGGGTTTGATTCCTGGTGGAGGCGATGCTCTTGACTGATGAGTTCAGTAATTAAGTAAAACGCTGACCGGCTGGGAGATGACAATGGAGAATCAAGCATAAATTACACCCAAAAAGCCACTATGTATACGTAACTGGTTACGTAACAGGCCAGTATGGTGCTTAGATCGAAGGAGCGGAACAACAAATAAGGATGTAGCGCCCTGATCAACCGAAACCATTCAACAATAAAAACATAGCTTGTAATGCAATTCAAAGCAAAGAAGATCCTAACACGAAAATGAACGTTTATACAACAGGAATACACTCTGGTGATTTGAGATACAAGCAGCGTTTTTACAAATGATGATAGTTTGATCACACTAAGGGGAGTGTTTCAGAGAGGGGCTCGAATCGTGTCCGTTGGGTGGGTGGGTGAAAGCATAGTACCGAGCCAGATTGAGTCAAATTAAAGAAGATGAGATGAGCATGGAGTGAAGGCAAGAAAAGACAACTTGGTCACGGAGGTACATGTGCAAGTCGTGGAGAACGACTGGGGGAAACCAAAACAAATATCGGCCTAAGTCACCACATATGAACATGGAGAAAGGCATGCATTGGAAAAAGACCTAAGGGACAGAGTGTGGACGATGTTGAGATGAAATTTGATAGGAAAATCTAAAGATAAAAGGTGATGAAAAGTGCCACTTGGAAAAACGAGTACCTGGCCAGAGATTCGTGTTAATGTCAGTGCCCAACACCAGGCGAAGGCGGTGAAGGAAGGCAAGGAAGTATTATCTAACAAAATCTGGAAGTAGAAAAATCCTAAAAATGCAACACACATATAAGGATGCATTAACAAACACGGTCAATGGCAAACGGAAAAACGCAAAGAAACACAACGAATAATTAATAACTTTGATGATGCATCTGGGAGTCAGATAGAGAAAAACATTGTGAAACTAGAAGATAAAATCAAAACTTGAGCCACGGATGGGCCTCCAAAGATTCCTTGTCCCTGTCTCCATAGTCATACAGGAGTTCCTCACCTAACAAGCACAAAAGGGAAACAGGAGCAGATGAGGAGGATAGTATATGGGAACAAGGAAACACAGCAGAAGCAGCTGCGACGCTAAATACAATCAGTCATGGAGCACAAACGTGGGTTGTTGTTCCTTTGGACAACGTGCCAATAATAATAATAATAATAATAATAATAATAATAAGGGATCAGCTGTACGTTGTAACAGCGCTTCGTTGCCGTGCGACCAGCACCAGTCGCACGTGGGCTGAATATACCGCTATGACGGCCAGCCCTATAGGGATTCAAACCCGCGCCGACCCATAATCCTTGTAGACAACATGCCACTGGTCGCTGAATGCTTGCTGGCAAATGTAAATCAGTTGTCTAATTCCATCGATAGCATCAGTTGGTGTAATAATGCAAAACGGGGGTTAGGTGAGAAACGAGCGACGTCACGAGCATCGTCACGTTCCACTCAGCGCGAATGGGATGAGAGGTCAGCACTCGCAGTGGTAGTTAAGTAAAGCACAAATACACACGTAGTCGGTAACTTCAGCTGCTTGACGGAGAACAAATTGTATCGCAGCAGCTCAGTTCCGGGCATTAGATGGTGTACCCGATAGCACCGTCTAACCGGGGCACTTTGGTCCACTATTCGTTTAGAATGTATCACACATTTATCAGCGCTTTTGATGACTTTATTAAGTGGTCTGTTGATAGGCCACAGTGTTATAATGCTGTAAAAAATACTGACTAATGCAATTCTATATCCGTAAATCAGTTTTTTAATATCTACAATGGCAAAAGTTTTCCCTAAACGGAGATACTTTGATCATGAAGACAAAACATACACAGATCCAATGACTCTTGACAAAAATGCTCTCTTTGAGATAGCTTGACACAGTTTTAATGTATCAATGTTTTTTCATAAAAGACTCAAAGCGGTCTGTGCCAGGTGTATTGTCTGTAAATCGATCGACTAGTCTCCCTTGACAGTCTAGGTAAGCGTCAATAAGCATGATGACGTCATGCCCTTCAAAGGGCATTTGTTAATGTGATGTGACTACCAGATGATCAGCAACGGACTTTTAATCTTGCTCACTAAGAACTGGTGGCCTTCCTGTTGTATTGGAATGTTTGTATTTTTTATGTTGTACCGCAGCGTGCTAATTGGGAAGCCGAGTTCTTCTCAAACATCACGCTGGCCCCGGCCACTATGAATCAAATTAATAGCCTGCTGAAACTTTGCATCGGCACGGCCTTGCTTTTATCGGCTTTAATGGTGATGTTGTTAAGATCTTCCCTTAGGGACTCTAATGCGGTACGCTCCGCTGTTGTAAGAGTTGTTTCCCCAGGCTTCTGAAATCTGATGATGTCTACCATCTGTGCACAAGTATTCTCAGCTGTTGATACTGGTACTTTCGTCATCACGGTCTCAACGCCAGTAATACCTTCCTCTGCAATTAGTTTAGACCTATTTACAAAAAAGTTCAAACCCATTTTCAGTAATATACGTTCCGTCTCGCTCGAGAACCTACCTGACATATTAAGTACATAGCAATAGTTACTGCTAGATTCAGACCTATCTTTGAGACTAAAGTTCCTGGTATGCATATACATCAAATGACTAAACTTGTGAATTTGTCTCTTTCGCAGCTAACTCTTGTGTTGATTTCACTTCCGAGGACTTGTTTTAAAGTCTATCATAGTCTGCCTGCGTTATATCGATCTGCAGCTCCCAACTCAGCCGATTAGCATGAAGGCAGATTTTATTCAGCCGTCGAGTTGTCATATAAATCCGTTGTTTTAGAAATGTTTTGCTTGCCTTGAGTGCTGTTTTGCCTGATGTGTAAGAACTGTCGGGTAGTCTGACAAGGAGGCTTTAAGGAATAATCCCATATCTAGGACATCTCAAGTTGAAGATATGATGATGTTCCAAATTCGCCTCAACACCAGTCAAAAGCACGAATTCGCTAGCCAGCTTGGAACGGAATAGGATCTCATGATTTCAAAAGGTTTTGAATGCTACTCTGTTTTTGTAGGATTACTTTATGGCAAAGTTTCGCTCTTGATGCAAGAGCTTCTTCAGGCCAGGCGAATAGGTACACAAATAGCTTAGCTTTTTATGGGGAAGTAAGGTGGAGATTGCAAAAAATAACATGAACCATTGGATAATAGTGTTACGGCTCAATAGGTCAACTGGCCATTCTAGTGAAGCAACAAGCATCGAGCGTTTCGCATTGATCCACGTCACTGGTTCTTCACATGTGACGCATTCCTTTCCTGAAGTTGCTGAGTTACGCTCCGAGCTGGGTTTGTCCGCCGACACCTTTACTCACTGACCGGGTTAACACAGCCCATCACGCATTCGATAACTCCACCCTGTCCGTTCCGTTGAAACGGTTATTAGTCATAGTAATCTCGATCGCCTCGGAAATCAACCTTTGGCTTGTTGCTGGCAATCTCCTCCTAAGCATGAGGATAGCAGAATAAAAGATGCACGTTTCTCATCCACCGAGAAACGAGTCTGAATACAGGGCCCACCTTATGTGCGATTGATTCCCCAAATACAGCGTGCTTGTGTTTGCCTGTGAAGGAGTGTGGGCCGGCTCCGTTGGTGAAACGTGGCTCCCATCCACATGCCTCCCGGTCTTATTGCTTCGGGTTTACACTGGATATGGGGTGTGTGGTTGGAGCTGTGGGTGGTGCAGCGCAAGCTACCCATGGTCCCTCTGTAGGCGCAGGCGTCCTGTGGCTGGCCACAGAGACACACAAATCCGAACCGGATGCAGTCACCCACTAAGAGATTCAGCGGTGGCCGTACACGCGCTAGACGCAGGATACGAGATTGATTGGGATAATGTCGAGATACTTAAGAGGGGATTACCAGCAACAAGCCATTAACGTTAGGCACAATACATACCCTGTAAATTGTCGAGTTAAGCACCAGGAGGTTTGTGTGCATGGTCGACAGTTACCAACATCTATGGAGACTATGTGACGCCGACCTGTCAATCATGGCAGCGTGTACAACACTGTGGTAATATATAGATTAGAAACACGTCCACCACGTATTAATGATGTCGAGCTAGTTGTCTTTGATCACCAGTGCTTGAGTTGTGATGTTCATATCTGATGGCGGCAGTGCGTTAGCAATAAAGTAGTTCGCCAATCGGGATCGCACCGAAGTGCCGGACTGTAGCCTTAGGAATCGCAAGCCCGTCTTGCAATCTGAGGGCGCGGGTTCGAGTCCGAGGAGGGACCGGGTGACTCTTCAGTATCCCTAGCCCACGTGCGACCGTTGGTGGTTGCGCGGTGGCGAAGCGTCGGTACCGCGTACTGGTGTACTGCTGATGCCATTCAAGTGGTCAACATGTGGATACTCAAACTGAACCGTTTACGCTGATTGTGTACGGGGCAAGGTGCATTGTCTCTCAGGTGACCACACAAGCTAACAAAACTGCGGAGTCTCCATTCGATGGCGTCGCAGAAAAACATGGAGAAACTGACCAAGAGACTTGGTATATCACAAGAGGGAAGCTATACTCTAGCAGAGTGTGAAATAATGGTATTTTTTGGACATTGCGAAATCAGTGACGATGAAGTGAGAGGGAAACATTATCACATTACCAACAAAGTTGGTTTCTAGCTATCATGATAAAATGCAGTTCCTGAAAAGCTATGATGAACCGAGTTGGTCATGAAACCCTTACAGGACCGATGGAGAAAACGTATCAGTACAAACGTACCCAGTGGTATTGCCAATATGGAAGCAGAGAATGGAAGCAGAGCATTAGTAGAGATGGAAAATACCTCAGCTACTGTGCCGCAACACAAGAAAAGAAACACACTGCAACAGATGCATGCCAGCTGACCTAACAATATTGGATGGGCGTCGTTCCGGAAAGCTACAGGCCCACTACCATGCAGCAAACATAATTTATTAAGCAAATTTGCACTATGCTAAGAAATAAAGTCGCGGTTGGAGACAGAGGCTAAGAGGTACTTACCGGGATTGATGACCTGTTTTGCAAACAAGACGAGTCTGGGAACTCCGTCTAGGGGGATCACTTTGACCACGCAGTTAGGGTGTAGACGACTGTGATTGATCAACCGACCGAAACGTGGGGTTTCTTTGGTTGCATCAACACACCACTTTTGGCCACTAAAACAAAAAGGCGATCAGACAAACCTATCTTGATGTGATCCACATAAAGTCGTGGTCAAGGCCGAAAATACCCAAAAAAGAGATCCGCACACCTGTGAACGAAATAGAACATATAAGAACCAATCGAAGGATCCCGTTTATACTCCTTTTCCCGTTCTTTCGCCATCCTTTCGGTGATTAAATCCCCAGCGTACTCGACCACGAATTCGCCGTTTTCAAATACACGAGTAGCAACAACGCCTCTGCCCTTATCTTCTGTCACAATTACCTAAGAGACAAAAACAAAGAAACATCAAATTGGTTACGGTCAGGAGGAATTCCACGTACAGGAGGAGGAACGAATGTAGTAGCAATTTATGGATGTCTATACACCATCGAACAAGAGCGGCACATACTCTCCCATCCTGAAACAGTAGCGCATTGATAATACGCCGGCAATTTGTACCGATGTCTCGTGGCCACACACAACCATGAGCGCAACGGCGTGCGGCGTAAGGACACCGATGACCTGCGGGAAGGAGGGGTTACAAACCAAGCCTCGGTGAGAGGCTACTCTACGCTACTGCATGCCACTCAATTAGGCACCGATGATGTCACCTCGATTGCTGATGAAACGTTTACAACGAAATTGCTAAGCTCAGCGAACAGTTCAACCGCCATCTGAACAACCTGAGCTACCCATCTTCAATGATATAACCAACAGTTGAATCTGTTCTCTTTTGATTATCGTCGTCTCCGCGGAGACCAGGTTTACACCAGGCGTATTATTGGGTGAGAATAAGGGACAGAGTTTCAACAATTCTTCCAGTTGAACACTGAAAGCCCGACGCAGAGAGACAATTGGAAGCTGTTTAAGCCGAGGAGCCTCCATGTCCGTCGAGTGGTAAACGACCGGAACTTTCTGCCGGAGCCTATTGTCAACGCGTCCAGTGAAGAAAGGTTTAAGAGGCTGTTGGACCTCCATTTGCTGCGTATACTGGGATCGTCCTGCTTTCGCTGCAGCTGTAACGGTTCAATGTGAATGCTGTTTCTCAACGTCACGTATCCTTCCTGCTCTGAACGGGATGCGATGAAGTCGCCAAGTGTTCTCCATTCTGCTTTCCATAATTCAATGATTCAATAACTGGTTCAAGAATGCTGACTGGGATGGTCAAAAATGTGCCATGAAGAATGCCTTCGACGTTAGCTTTGCGCCCGACTCGAGACGTCGTAAATGAGAACGGTTCTCTGAGGCATCGATCAGCTTGATCGAAGCATGGAAAAGGCTCTGATGGCCAATGAGTTTTAGTGTGTCCATAATCCCGTGAAATTACCTCTAACAAGGGATCTCTGAATCGACCGAAAACTCTAATGGATGCCAAAAGTCTGTGGGATTGAGGAAGTCACTGCTATTAAGGCTCATACGGAACACGGGCTCGAGAAAGCCATCAGTGCTGCTAAGGTAAAAGTTGTGATCCATGCACAGTTGCAGGAATCGACCAGCATTGTCTGTTCGGCGAGCATCAACTCCGAAGCAGCCTCCCAGTTTCAATTGGAAGACGACCTACTTGGGCATTCCTGTCACCAACAACAAGTAAGATGTCAGTATTCTTCACCATGAGAAGAAGGATGAGAGCTGTGATATCCTCTGAACTGCAGTCATTAGGGGCATAAACTGAGGCGATGAGAAGGCACTTCGTCTTCAGACGCTACCTATTAACCCGTAGAGATTCGAATTCGAAAAGCACATATGCGCCTGTTCACCGTAGGCAGTGACGATTGCTACAGCAGGTGTGCCGAGGGCAATACGGACACCGTAAATACCTTGAGCCATTAAATCAGTATCGCGAGGGACGCGAAGTGTAGATTTTGATCGTAATCCCGATCAACCTGGAACGGTGGTAAAAAACAAGTAATTGTAGACCAACTCGAAGCAAATGTGTCTCTCGTAGAACCCGACACGAAACGTCACTAAGCTTATTTATTCTCAAACAAAAGCTAAAATTCAAAAGGCTGCAAGTCAATGTGTTGAAACAGTGCATGATGGTAAACCCACAAACACGAATGTAGCGAATCCAAAAGAGCTCTCAGTAACTGATGACGAGAAACAGTGTGTACAACGAGGTGTTAAAAGTGTGATGCCGTTGAATAGAAAATAGCGACCATCGATATAGTAGAGAGGGAAGAAAACCGTTAGCTGCTGCTCAAACTAGCTTCCAATGCAGACTTGACGAGTAGGAATGTTCATTCGATAAGGAAAATTGAACTGAAAACCTCACCACAATGGAAGCGCATCGATTGCTTGGGGATAGAGCGAACAGCGTTCTGCACCACTTGAAAATGTATACCAAGTTGTTTATAGTCCACAAAAAACACTACTCATGGAAGGTAAGAATAATAAGAAGAGACAGGTCGTCTTTGATCCCCGATGCCTGTGGAGCACTGCCCACCTTCAACGGGAACACCGGATGAGAAATAAATAAATCCATTAGCTAATGGCTTTATGAATTAACTCTCTGATGCCGCACTAGGGGACGTAGTAAGCTTGAAAATATTTGGAACCGTTTCAAAAGGTTTGGCAAACGACCGGTTAGTGTATTTGTTATGCTGTACAACCTTTCGCTTTTGACTCAAAAGCTTCATCAGGCGAAGTGAATTAGCTTAAACGTCTTGTCGCATATTTCGGATGTCTGCTGGCCGACTTTCTCCGCATCCGTCACGTGTTGTTGACGCAACTGGTTGCGTGAAATCCCTAGGTGGCCAGTGGATGTGACCTAGCATAACAGCAGGGAGAAAACGACCGAGAAAATTGGTCAGGTTGGTGCCTCAGATTGGGGCGCCGTCGCGGGGTTAACCACGTCCTAGTATTCCGTTCCTCGCGAACAGCAGTTGGTATACCTAAACCCCTGCTATCCGTCTCATCTACCCCGAGGGCAAGTCATCAGCAGTACGCTGGTACGCAGTACCGACGCTTTGTTGCCGCGCAACCACCAAAAGTCGCATATGGGCTAAAGATACTGTGACGGAGGGAAGCTCAAATCCGTACCGTCGGATTACAAAGCAGGATTGTGATCCCTACGTCTATAGGCAGACACCTCAGCAGTATTTGTTATGGCCATTCTGGCAGCGTGAGTCATGGTAGTTAAATCCTCTGCACTCCTGTGCCAGGAACTTGGTGCTACAGCTGAACCGAACTGAACTGACCGAATGGGGGAATATATACCAATCGAACACAAATATGGCGCTTGCTGCTGATTCTTCGTGGCCCAATGGTCAAAATCATAGACACTTAAGCGTGGGGTCGCGGGTTCTAGTCCCACAGAGGATAGATGCAATGGAGCCCTATTAACGATCCTCGAAAAGATGAAAAGGCTGTATAGCGTTTTTCCGACTGTGGTAGTGCCTAGTTGTGTGCTTGTGAGAAATCACCATAGAAAAAAGTAACCGTGCTGGAAAGACGGCGCACGAAAAAGTAAATGTGGAGATCAGGGGAACGCAATATGGAGGAGGTAATCTTCTACATTTTACCCGTATTTGACTGAGCATTAAAACACCGAAGACAATAAAGGGGACGGAGACTCATACGGACAGAATGCGAGCTACGCCGAATGAGTTACCATACCGTGAGATGAGCATAAAGAGAAAATAGTTGGACACACCACAACAGATTGAAAAAATAAATAAATTAGCAAGGTCCAAAGAGCAGCCTCAAGGAGACCAGAAAATTAGAGAAGAAAATAACCACACTCACCTTCATCCCCGTTTCAACTTGATTATGCAGTAGACGGAACACGCTGGCCTCGCGTTCCCGCTAATGTGAGAGGCAAGAAAGAACAAGCGCATCATGCATACGGATTAAACACTGAGAACGTACGGAGTGATGAATAGAGAGACAGGCATCAAATGAATGTGGTACGTGGGACTGGTTTTAGCATTCACTCCACAGAAAGTAAAAGGTCATATAGAATACTATGCGGGTCGTCTGGAATTGAGGGTTAACACGCTCGGTCACATTACATTCCTGATCAACAGCAACTACATACATCATCATCATCATCATCATCATCATCATCATATACATTAGCCAGAGGTGGGGAAGATCTCAGCTACCGTGCCGTAATACCTAGAAAAAGGAGAAAAAAGCAACTGGTGCAAGCCGGCTGAGCTACCGGTAAAGGATAGGCATCGTTCCGGTAAGCTACCAACCGGCTACTGTGCATCAAAAATTACTATGCAAAATTATATAAGGCTAAATAATGAGATCGTGGTTGGAAAGGGAGGCTAAGAGGGATGGGGTGGGACAAAGAAACTCACAGCACGAACGCCACTGAGGTCGACTCCTAGCCATATCAGCAAGTGTGTCCAACCAAACGTGTTCATCGTCTTTCGGACCCCAACCAGGGAGCCGAGACGCTCCAATCGAGGCCAGCTCAGAAATAAGGGCCTAGCTACATACATAGTATTCGCAAGATCTCTGATCGTATCTAGTCAGTGTCTGCATATACATCAACTTAACGAAAATAAACCTTGTGAAATACTTGATTACTATGGCCCACCAAGCTAGAAAGAGGGAAGACATTGGGATACAAGTGTCCGATTAATTCAAGACTGCAGATTTTAAATGTGTAAGATTACCTACCTTAACGAAGGAACAGTTATATAAGCCAACGGTGTGCTGAATATTCGGGTATTAATATAAGAAAACCACAATAGATGCCTGGAAGAGATTCCAAACATAAAAATCAGTCAGTAAGAATGTCTACAGATGATAATGCAGCGAGCAAAGAAAAATCGCTGGATAGGTAAAGTAGACGCTTGAAGTATCTGAAAGAATAAGCACCTCTTTATCCTTCATAAATTGACGGGCAGTACGTCGGATGCCATAGGCGGTGAGCTGTGTTTGGTGCTTCTTTCTCCGGGAGGCATCTGAATCGACTACACACTGTCCGTCTTCTACCCGCCTTTCTTTCTTTGGGCTAACTGAAGCGGCTTTGTTGGAAAGTTTTTGACGAGCAGTGGCATTAGTCTTCGGTCTTGTGTCTGCACTTTGATATCGAGTAGTCTTCTGAACGCTACAACAACAACAAAAAATTGTTAAAAAGAGAAGGAGCATTCGCTGGATACAAACTTCAACAGCAGTACATGAGAAAAAGTAGCAGCCAGATGTACAAAAACGTCAGCCCAGGGTGAGCCACGAGCACAAATAAATATTCGTAAATGAAAAGAACAAGCGTAATTAAGCACCAGCTTGCTGTGAGGATCGCGTAGTTCCGCAAAATTTGCGCACAGTGAACTCAAAGCCACCTCCATAGTACGCTTAGCAACACTGCTAACATGTGGCGACTCAAACTTTGTAGAAAACAGCAGGGTTATCCTCATGGACATCGCTGTCGTGTCAAGAGAAAACGCGCGCATTCTAACTAGCCAGTCACCATTGACAAACTTGTATTTACCTCAACTGAGCTCCATGTTAAGACACTGCCAATAGGTGGAAACCCGTGTCTTGCTAACATTAGGCATCCTCCGTAGTTTATAGCATTGAACTATAAATATGTAGAACACTTGCTATTGACCAGTCCTTCCTTCCTGGGTCTATGTGCAGTCATGTAGGGTTACGCGTTTCGCAACTACTCTCAGCAGAAGTGTACATACGTCTGGCAGCTAGGGCTAGCAGCTAGGTCAGTACCGATCAGAATTCCATGGGGTACTCTGTGCACGGGGTAGAGTCACTGAAAAACGTTTCGTCCGAGGCAACTAGGAGTTGAGACAACCGAGACGTTTGTAAGTAACAACAAAGAAAAACCGAACAGCAAAGACTAAGTCCAGCAGACAGCTATTTATGAATAAGTAAGTATGAGAAGCAAGAAATCATAGAAAAATAACGTAGAGCCAGCCTTTTATCCAGTAGGTCACGCGAAAGCAGTAGTTTACTTGTTGAATTAGCATCTCAAAGAACAACGTGGTTTAACGGCCCTAAATCGGGAAGCCTAAGAGGCTAGGTGGTATCAACAGTACGCCGGTACGCAATACTGATGCTTCGCTAGCGTGCAACCACCAACAGTCGCGCGTGCGACAAGGATAGTACGAGGGTTGTCCGGTCCCCTAAGCAAACTCGGACCCGCGACTTTGGATTATAAGGCAGACTCGAGAATCTTAAGACTACAGGTCGACCTAAGAGGGCACACCAAGCTCCGAATAACAATGTCATGTATTGTAAATGCTAGGCTAAGTGAACATAACCCAGTTGTAGCTAGGAATTAAACAAGCTGACAAGGAGAACCAAATACAAGTTTGAAGGAGACCATGATGATAAGACATTAAGTCAAAGCGAAAAGAGAGCGAACGAAAATCATCCCTACTAATGTCACAAATTATGTGCCTGGTTTGTACATATCTGTCTGTGGCATTCTCGTGGCTTCTGCTGCTGTGCAATTCCTCTGAGCTGTTTACATTCGCAAACGTGTGTCCGTATACCGACCAAACACGCATCAACTTATCTAATCTAAAATAGTTATCGATATGCTGTACAAAGTGTCAATGCGAATATAGTTTGGCTGCCGTTGGCCTGGCGTGTTTTGCTTTGCGCTACTAAAGCTAAGATCCAGATAATGAGAGTTAGTCCCGCACATGCTAGACTGTAAGACAGCCAATGCTAGAAAGAGGAGAAGAAGAAACAAATCAACAGTTCACGACAGAAGACCATACCAGACTTACGGTTTTATCGAAATGCCTTCCAGGTTTGCCAGTTCAGTCGTCTTTTTTCGACCACGGGAGGATTTGGTTGTGGAAGTGACAGCTTCACCCAGTTTAGCCACTACCTGAATGTTGTCGTCTAGTTTGGTTTGAAAAGAAGCTGCTGGGACCTCATCAAATTTTGTGACTTTATTGCTTTCGGACAGGAAGTCGACAGTACCACTGTGGGATGTTGTCGATTTATTATGGCGCTCTTCGACCGTAGGAGAAAAGTTGAGTTGAGTCTGTTTGAAGCCGTCAGATGAGCGGGGCAAACGTGATCCACATTTTTTCTGTTCAGTCATGCTAGGAGAAGACGCGGTTAGCACTTCTTTCTCCCAGTGCGGAGAGTCGCTGTTCCCACAAGTGGACCAGTAACTTGGGTAGCGCTGCGTTTCCGATAATGTCATTGGAGGAAAGCTGAAAGCAATGGGAAATTCGACATGATGGTGAGATGCGGGTATATTATACAAAACAAGAAATCCTCACAGTCAGTGAACAACGATGAGATATCCGATGCCGTAACAGATTAAATAGACTAAATCAGCTAAGTTGATACAGAGATGGTGATTTGAATCGCAACGATAATAGAAACAAAGTTGGATGAAAATGAAGAAAGAGCGGGGGACAAGTTAAGTAAAATGGGTGAGAAAAAGAGACGAAACCGTCGGAGGGGGAAAAGGCGGACAAGGACATTGAAGAAAAAAAAGCTATTAAACTTTCCCACGAGCAGAAGAGATCGAAGACCAAACCAAGTCAAACAGTTCATACAAACAGGAAGCAGTCCATTTATGATGCGCTTTCAAGTCATCAAATGATAGGGGGTTAACGTCGGCAAGCGACATATGTTGTGTCGCCGCTGACGCCTTCACCCCACGACCGCAAGAAGAAGTCCAAGACGAGCCAGAAGGAGAGTTGTATACATGAAATCACAGTTGCTTATATAGTTGGAAGGCAAAATGAAGGGAAGCTACTAAAGTACACTTGAGTCAACCAACTGAAGGAAGAACGTAAAATGCAACGGCGAATAAGCAACCGTGTACGTAAGAGCGAATCGCGTAGGTCCTTAAAAATAGCATCATTGGACTCTAAGCGTAAAGCGAACGACCATTTACAGTGACGGGCACTGGCCAATCAGAATGACGAAATGAAACGTTTAAAAAAATGTCACGAAACAAACGCGAATAAGGAATGCAGACCCAAAAGTTGAAAACTAGTACAATAATTGTGTGACACTAAATATTTTTTTAACATAACCAAGTAGAACAGTGATGAGAAGAAAAAACCAATAGAATATGTTCTTGCAAACAGCGCTGCTGAGAAGGGCATGACGATGAGCGTCCATTAACAATGACGCGGATGTACCAATCGGGCTAACCCAGTAGAGCGTTTAAACAACAGTCAAGAAATAGAAAATAGAAAAATAGAGTAAAGAACAGCTATCAAGCTCGGTCACAATAAATGAATGTCTAATCGCTGTTCTCCTAATAACATACACCCGGATGAACAGTCATAGGAATGCGGTGAATATGCGATAAAAGGAATAGGCGGATAAGATTTAGAAAATGGAAGCACGGAGCAAGAGTCCACTGTCAAACAGCAGGTGTCAGAAGACATCGCTATCAGATTTCATTTGCAGATAAGACAAAGAGTCGAGCAGCACGATGCGCGACATAGATGAATGGAAAATGTGAATCGAAACGGACCTCTACGAGATTCACTCGATGGCTCCACAAGTATGAGTAATGTCATACAGGGGCAGGTGACCGAGCAAAACCAACATCTTGTTATAACCACGGTTCATGGAGCGTAGAGAGAGAGAGAAATTCGGCGGACCGAAAGGTGCGTTGGCCAAGTCACACGAAACAAACAAGAGAGCCAACAATAAAAGGTAACAGAGAGTATTGGACATTCCACTTCGCATGATCTGCAAAGAGAAACACATGGGCCAGAATAAAGTAACAGGGGAGACGAAAACCAGAGACGCGTGACTGCGTTGTGTTTCTAGGCACGGGATCATCTATAATCTGTAGTCGGCACACCGTCAACCTAAAAGATAAGACTGGTCACGATAAATTGTTGTGATCATGGCGTTAGCCGCCAAGCACTATGCGCCGGCTATCTCTACCTCATAAGTCCAAACAAGGAGGAAACCGTCAGTGGTGGAGTGCAGGGGTGGGAGAGAGCCACACCGAAACCCTCCACTTCGGTGACGGTCCCAGTGATCGTATTGGCAGAGGCTGACTTCAAAGTCAACCGAGGCAACAATTGAGATTGCGTTTCGCAATCCAAGACACACGGCAGGTGCTCCAAAACCCGAAAATCTACAATCTAACCGCTGTGTCAAACACTGCTCGCGGAGCTTAATAGCATAGTGATCATAGCGTTAGCCGCCAAGTACTATGAGTCGAGTTGCACTCCCAGCTCGGCTATCTCAACCTGATAAGTGTAAACAAAGACGAAACCGTCCGTCGTGGAGTGCAGGGGTGGAAGAGAGTCACACCGAAATCATCCATATCGTGAACTTTGTTTATGATCGACAGGATGATATCCCGCAGGGTCCAGGTAAAAATGAAAAGTTGTATGGGACTAAAATGTCCGTACAGTAACCGCTTTGACGGTAGGATTACCATTAGCAATGCAGAAACAAAGTTATGTGAACTAGCCAATAGTTTAGAGTGGGTGTTGGATGAAAGTGGAAACCAGCGACGAGGTATCCAGACACGGCAGTAGAAACCCAGTCCTAAGGGATGCAAAGATCACAACGGAGCGTTTAACACTCTATCGCATAGTATCCAGAGCAAAAACACTATAGTGAAGTCGTTCAGCATTACAAAATGTATGAAATGATTACCTAGCAGACCCAGTACTAAGCACAAAACGGCTAGAATCCATCCAGCTAAAGAAGAAAAGACAAAACCGGGTGCTTCGGCGTTCGACTCCAAAATCGATAAAGATCAGATCATGAAGCAGCGTTGGACACCGATGGGTCTTTGTTGTCCTCTACATTCCAACCGACTGCGGCCCTGAGGACGCAGTTGACAAACCACGACGAAATGCCATCGGCTCAGATGCAATTGCACTTTCTGGAACTATGAACGCACAGAGGTTTCCAGATTCATCAGAAGCGAAGTTAGGTTGAGATCGTCGGTTCAACACCGAATGTAGGGTCAATGGCGAATTGTTCTTGAAACCGTGCTCCGATCATCGTTTGTTTCCGAGACGCACTGTCTCTAAGCATAACCGCCACTGCCATGTCACTTTGCGTTCTCCGGCAGCTAGCCAGTGATTGACACCAATAGGCTAAGGAAACGAACACACTCAGAAAAAATGAATGGACCATTGATTTGTTTGTTAGAGCTGTACGCTACCGGACCATCCCCAGGTTATCGATTTGGGAAGGCTTTTTCTGCTATAACTGTAAATAAGTCTAGTCTGTTCGCAGGTGAGATGAGTAAATAGTCGCGAGCAATCAGCAGTAGCGTCTCAGAGCATGGGTGGTTCTGAGGTAGTCACCTGGTCCCCCACTAAATACCATAAGATCCCGTACGGTGTTGCATCAAAGCCAAGGTGATCAGCTATGGGGTCAGTGACCAGTCACTTCTGGTGAGTACACAACGGAGGACGGATGAACCATCTCAATGCTCATTGGCTTCTATATGAAACGGACACTATGAAGGCGTAACAGACAAATGGATGTTAACTGCCTTCGTGCATGGCAGCGAGTCCGGTTGCGCAGGAAACTTTTCCTGGCTCCAGTACTACTATATTTTAGCTACCTGGGTGTCCTGGGTGGTATGTTTCTATCCAAAAGTCATGTCATCCTCGCCCTGATAGCCGGCTACCAACGGTTCGCGATACATGTTAATCGCTCCGCTGCCTTGCGAATCAGGTCCTCGTGGCTCAAGGCTCCGGGGTGGGGTCCTCTAAGCTAAATCTGTTCCTCGACCAGGGCGACCGGGAATACTAGAACCATAGATTCTATGGAACGTCTCAAGGTTTCTCTGCTCGCTGGAGGCGATATATGCTAAACGGCACTTAAAACGCACCACCGTCCAACGACTCTATTCCATGAATGTTTAGTCCTTGGCTGCCCCTTTCGCTTCCGAGTCCACAACATCGTGCCGCTTTGGGTGAGAGTTCTCGCCGCACACAACAGGAATACAGGTTTGAGGTCAAAGTCTTTTTTAACTCACCGTTCCGAATTCAACATGGCTATGTTCAATGCTCGGACGGTGATGTAGATCGGATCATACGAAGTTTTTGCTTACACTAAAGAGCAATGTATTGACATTTGCTACCTCAATGAGGCCCGTGTACAGACCACTAGTATGATCATGTGGTTGGTTTCACCGTCTGCGGATTCTGTCGGCATTTTCGCATTGCGTCTATAGGAAGAGTTACCTGCAGAAGCCGTTAGAAATACCACTGTGGGGAATACGTTAAACAGACATGCTGAAACTCCGCTACTTGACTGAAGCTCTGTTAACATCTAACACTGAGTAATCCAGTCAGAAACTGCAATACGAGTATCGAACTGCGGAGGCAGAAGACGTGTGTACATTGTGGCGGCGTACGCCCTCAAAAAATACCAGTCTGGCGTCAGTTAAAGGTCAATGTTAATATCAACTCACTAGCCTTCTCGGAGAAAGTACCGCACCGACATAGTGACCCTTGCCCGGAATTTACACGCACAGATCGGCAGGCTTGAATATGACTAAGGTGAACACCGTGGTCAACATGGCAGTGGTGTTCGTAGGACGGACAACGATGACCGTCTCATCATCATCATCACTCAACAGCATTAAATCAGTCCACTGAACTGATGTTTCGCAGCGTACAAGCACAATGGCCTACAGAATGAAGAATAGTGGGAAAAAGGGTTGAAGTGGAGTGACGACTAGTCCTAGCCTACCGCATAAGAAGGAACGAATCAATGTCAGAGAAAAGATAGGTTTACGCTGACCTTCAGATGTGACCGAGTGGATTAATTCCACAGGTAAATCACACTCCCTGACGGAGTAGTTGAAAGATGATATTCCAGAGTGTTGGTTCGCCGAAGCTCAGACTTCCTAGACAAAGAGACGAAACAAGTGCAACACGCCGCAGTAGAAAAGCAGAACGCACGGTTGGTAGGTTGAGAATTGTGTATTCAAAAAGCGGTCAGTTGAATCGATGGTACAATAATGACTGAAAGACGAAGTAGATAAAGCGCAAAAAAATGAAAAATCAATGGATACTACAGGACTCACCCCTAGAGGTTGAGTGGACGAGCGATTGCTGGAAATGTACGTCTTACTGCTTTTAAAACGCTAGTTTAAAAGGGGAATCATTGTACGACCAAAACGTGTGCGTTGTGTGGTGGGTGTCGCAGGGGATTGCGAGGAAGGTACACGAGGAGCACACATAGACTGTGTAGAAGGGGTGCTCGGAGATGGATTATCATCGGGATAAGATGCGTCTGCAGATTGATGCGGCGAGGGAAGTTCGAGGTTAAAGGTTTCAAACGATCGATGCTCACAGAGTCTTTGCAACCATTTCGGTCCAACACAAAATACTTGTCCTTGCAGTCGATAACATTGTAAGGACCCACATAGGGTGGTGTCAATTTTACGAACAGTATCGATGCGCACAAGAACGTAGGGACAATAGCAAAAATCAGGATAAATCTGTGGGGGAGAAGTGAGTCGTGGAGGTGTGCGTACCGAGCTCAAGTTACTCCTCAGGCGTGTGACATGGCAGGTTGGATGTACTACCACAGTGATTCTTAAATCCAGTACCTCTCCAGAAAGTCCAAGTAGCATGCCACAAATCAAATCAGCAGGGCAACAGCCTATATCTTCCTTGACAAAGTTACGTATGCCAAGCAGGATTATTGGCAAACACTCCGAACATTGTGCGCTCGACTTAGAAGCGGTAACCGTAGCTTTCAGTTGGCGATGGAAGTGTTCAACCAAACCATTGGCAGCGGGATGGTAGATGGTGTACGTGAGAACAACCAAGCAAACGACTCAGGTCACGAAACAACGAAGAAGTGAAAAGCGGACCTCTGTCTGTCGTGATAGTAGCAGGTGCGCCAAAGAAAAAAATCCACGTTTCGATGAAGATTCGCACTACTGTTGCAGAGGAAGAAACCCGTAATGGCACCGCGGGCGGCCAACGCGGAAATCGATCAACACACGTCAGCAAGTACTAAAAACAGTCGGAAGGAGGCGAAGGATGTAAAGATGGACATGCTTGAAACGAGCATCCGGTAGCGAAAACGTGCTAGGGACAGTAATTGTATGGCTATGCACCTTGCTGGTCTGAAACGTAATACAGTGCTTTGCCCACTGGGGTGTCAGAGCGCGTATCTTGCCAAACAAAGCGATCTGTGGTCCACTTAACAGTAGCCCGAATGTTTCGATGCGAGAGCCCGTGCAAATGATCGAAAACGACTCGGCGGTAGCGTTGAGGAACGCAGGGTCGGGGGTTACACGTGCAAATGTCGCAATGAACTTTGGAGTCAGAGCTAAGAAGCGACAGAAGAGTAAGTTTGACCAAAGGGTTTAATTTCATCTGCATAAACTCAGTATCTCCTTCCAGATGAGCAACGATTTATTCCAAATCAAATGCCGGACGCGAAAGTTCGTGAAGTCCTATACGGGACACTGCGTCGGCTCTCATGTTGTCAGTGGCACCTAATGACGGATGTCAGTAGTAAACTGCGATATCCAATCAAGGTGGCGGGTTTCACAAGGGGAAAACGGTCCGAAGAATCATAGAAGGTAAAAACAAGCGGCTTATGATCTGTAACCATAGTAAATGAGCGACCTTCGAGATGTCGAAAGCGTTTAACGGCGAGACAGATGGCCAAAAGTACTTTTCCGAAGGTACTATACCTGGTTTATGCAGGCTGTACTTTACGAGAGAAAAATGACTGTGGTTCAGGATGACCATTGTTGTTGTCGTAGCATGGCGCCGACTGCGGTCGGTGATGCAATGGTTTTAAGAACGAGAGGTATATTAACATCAGTCCGCAAATAGCTTAACGCAAAGACACCGGACAAAGCATGTCTAGTCTTGTGGAAAGCGCCTAATGCTATATCCGTGGCTTTGAATTTAGCTTTCCTTTAAGCAAGTCAGTTATAGGTTGAAACAGTTTAGAGCAATCAGGTAGAAAGCGGCCGTAATAATTCACCATACCGAGGAAACGGCGCAGGCTTTTGTAGAACTGCGGCCTCAGAAGTGCATCGGTACCGTTGCGATCGATTCGATGACAGAGAAAATCAACACTGGACTGGGCGACAACAAATTTGTTCCCGTTAATCGTGACGCCATAATGATGGAAACGCTGAAAAAGTTAGCGAAGATAAAATAGGTATTCGTCGTAGGTAAAGCTGGCCACGAGAATGTCATCGAGATAGGCAGAAACAAAATCGACCTTGAAGAACTTGGTCGATGAATCGTTGAAAGGTTTGAGCGGCGTTCCGTAAACCAAAAGACATACGGATAAACCCGAAAAGACCGAAGAGTGTGGTTATAGCTGTTTTGCGAATGTCATCAGGGGCAACAGAGATTTGGTAATATGCCCAGACCAAGCCAATGTTAGAAAAACTGCTTTACCGCCTAAGTCGATAGAGAAATCGTGAAAATGTGGTACCGGATACCTGTCTGGAACAGTGACATTATTTAGTTGATGATAATCACCACAAGGTCGCCAATCTCCACAAGACTTCTTGAGAACCATGTGCAGAGGTGAAGACCATGGACTATTAGATGGCCGGATAATACCAAGGCGGAGCATGTGCTCAAACCCGGCCTTGAGATTAGCGAGTTTGTCAGGTGGTAGTCGGCAATGTCCAGACATGGTTCACGAGTAACGATGTGGTGCAGGATCTCGTTTAGGTTCGGGACAAATATTGGATGGGCGAGATAGGGCAGGAAACTGTTGAAGTAGCTCAGGGAACACAGTGTTAGTGGGTAGAGTCATGCGAAGTCCGATCGAGCTGATCGAAATGGCTCCGCCGGGAGTGGTGAGGAAGGTTATACTGTCACGCCGCATCTCACTGCACTGAAGATGCCACCTCGCATGGTGGCGAAACGTTTGCTACGAAACTGCCAAACCCGGAGATCAAATGAACAATTGAATCATCAACCCGAGCTACCAGCATTTCGAAACATTTTAAATTCCTTTTTATTCTGAAGTCTATGTACCGTGACTTCCGAGGCCGCATAAGGGTCTACGGAAAACACTCTCCTGAGTTCCCCACGACAAGCAGGGTCCGCCAGGACAGTTCTGTGTATTCTTTCCACTTCAACTTTTTATCAAAATGATCAAGAGTGACTCTGTTTTTTCACTCTAGCAGGTGACCGACCGACAAACCCAGAGTACGCGGACCACATGGCTCTTCTTAGGTCTGACGCAGTGGCTATACAAACAGTGCGGGGTAGACTGACGCGTTGCGTCGCACGCTTCTGCATGTGCCTTGCACCTTAAGAGTACAAAGTACTGCTGCAGGACTGGACCGACACACCTCTGCTTCTAGCTATCACCGAACAACCGCTGGAAGTGGTGGATAGGTTCATTTACCTTGGTAGCTGTGTCACCTTTGATGGTCGGACGGTGGCCGAGTGGTGTGCACACCTGGCTTGCAATCATAAGGTACCCGGTTCGAATTAGCGTAGGGGTGGGCGTCCACGCGGTAAACTCAGCCAGCGCACGACTGGTGGTGGTCGCGCGGCAGCGAAGCACTGTTACGGCGTACAACTGACACTTTACTCTTTATTATTATTACTTTGGTGGTCACATTACTGAGGAAATTACTTCACGTATCAGCAAAGCCCGTTTGGCTTTCCAGATACTTAACCATCTATGGAAACAAGGGGATATCAGCCTGTCAGTGAAAGGCAGGGTGTATAATGCTGCGGTAAGACCTGTGTTAATGTATGGATCAGAGACCTGGCCAGTTTGCAGCGAAGACACCAAACGCTTGACCGTGATTGATCACCGGTGCTTGCGGAGCATTGTTCACGACTGGTCGGAACACTAGGTGAGTAATGCTGAGGTCAATCAGTTGGCTTTTGGCAAGAAGCCTTCTGGTAGCACACTGGAGTGCCCGCTGAATCTTAATCGCCCACGTTGGCTTGGACAAGTCCTAAGTATGTCCGTAACTGGCTTCCTCGGCGTGCATTTTACGCCGTGGCTGCACCAAGTTGGGTGAAACCGCGAGGTGGCCAGTCCATGACGTGGCATAATGGCATGAAGAAATTGACTGAGAGACTTAGTCAGGCTGGTGAGTGCCGTCTTCCTGGATGAGGGCCTCGGGATGTTCCACAACAATGGTTAGAGACAGTATCTGATATGTCGCAGTTACGCAGTCAGTAGCGTTCCTGCATTCGGTCTTCATCATCATCATCATCATCAAACACGTTAGCCAGAGGTGGGGAACACCTCAGCTACTGTGCCGCAATACATAGAAAAAAGGAGAAAAAACAACTGGTGAAAGCCGGCTGAGCTACCGGTAACGGATGGGCATCGTTCCGGTAAGCTACCAGCCGGCTGCCGTGCACCAAAAAAAATTACTATGCAAAATTATGTAAGGCTAAATAATGAGATCGTGGTTGGAGGGGGAGGCTAAGAGGGATGGGGTGGGACAAAGAAACTCACAGCACGAACGCCACTGAGGTCGGCTCCTTGCAATGTCAGCAAGTGTGTCCAACCAAACGTGTTCATCGTTTTTCGGACCTCAACCATGGAGCCGAGACGCTCCAACTGAGGCCACCTTCGAAGTGAGGGCCTTCATTCCTCTCCACCAAGTCATCGCTTGGCCACCCCTCCTCTTCTTCCATCCACATCCCCAGTGAGCAAACAACGCACGTCGAGGGAGTCGGTGGGCTGGCAAGCGTAACACGTGGCCGAGCCAACGGAGCCTGGTGCGTGAAATGACGGTGCTGAGCGGTTCAGTTCCTTTCCCTGTGCCGTAAACAAGGCGTCGAACACGCTCGTTGCTCACGCGGAGTTCCCACCAGATGTGGTCGAACGTAACTAGCCTCTTCGTGTCCGCCGATCTTCGGGGCCAAGTATCACAAC